TATTATTTAGTAATTTAATACATAATTTCTTCCTTCTATTATCTCTCTTACTAAAACCCGCGAAACATCGAAGTTTTAAGAATTTCTATAAACTGCAATAAGATCAAGCATGTAGAACAATGTAATGACGATGAGCCGTTACACCCCCCTTGAATAATATTATTTACCACCCTGTACGAGCCTTTTTTGGTTTACTTGTTGATGTACAATTCTAAACATAGTTTATTGCGACAGTTTTATATTAGTGAAATTAATTAATTGTATTTTACCTACATTACTCGACTATAAAGATCTAATGAGTTATCATCTTCGCTTGTTTTTCTTTTATTAATTGGTTCAAATGGTGCACGAATCATATCGTTTGCTGTTTTTATACCAACAGAGGCGTTGTTTTCGGCTTGTAATGAAGTAGAAGAACTTTGTTATATATTTTGCTTTCCAATTTATTTTACTTACTGTGTTATATTCTTCATTATTTAAGTCAATTGCCATTATTAGCAACCATTCTTGCTAAATCGATACAGGTTTCATGAATACGGTTTGTTTGATTGAAATGGCTACTATCTGGAGTCTAAACGATAAAAGATGGTGTTCACCTTTTTTTAAGAAGAATATAATACAATTTTAGCTTGTATAAGAAACCGTTATCGTCAATACTGAATATTTTATACTTAATTGAATAAGCCGCTATCCTTTACTACTTGTGAGCGTCTGAAATAGGTTATAGCGCTCGTAACGATGTTTTCATCTATGTTACGCTTACGACGGAAAAATCATTTATTACCTTTTGTGTAACTATTTGAATTTGCTTTGCAGCATCTTCAATTGCGTGCTCATACGATAATGCTTGTTCTTTAATAATATTTAATATTTTCGAACATGATATTTCTGTTTTATAAATAATATCTCTTGTATTAACATAATCAGCATTTATGCTGCTTAATGTTATTTCCATTATTGTTTGTTTTGATATTAATACATCTAGTAACTGATTTAATTTCAAACAGTTTCTTTAATTCGTTCAGTATTCGTTAATAATAAATTCAGTTTATTCTTAATTTCATCATTATAGTGCCCATCATGGGATGCTGCTGACGGTGAATTCCAAAATTCAAATGGATCTTTAGTTATCTCTTGAGACATAACACGTGTTGATAATGATACTTTAACAATTACTGAAAATATAATAATAAATAAGAGACGAGCATCCAAAAACATGGAAAAGATCTCGATTTTTAAAAGTAGACATTTTATTTCAAAATCCTGGAATGAAAAAAATATGCAATAGATCTCAATTTAGTTAACTAGATGGAAAACATGGATGAGATATCGATTTTTTTTGCACAGAAGTTTATCACTAACACAACACTATGCTTGTTATCAAAGATTAATTAGGCTTACTATAGATTATTTTTAGCTGTTCTTAATTGGCACAAATGATCATATAGAACAGTTTTCTTAATTGATGATTAATTAAGGAAAACTTCTTAATTAATCATCAATTATTATGTAATCAATATCAATTATTATAATCCTCGGGGAATCCACGTACGGATGAGGACGGTACACTTCCGTTTCTTTAAAAAGGTGATAGCTGGCTGCCATATTTAACATTTGATCAGTATCCTTAACTATTGTTTCCTGATCATCAATAAATGTATTTAAGGAACTAGCTAAGGTGCAGCTAATGCAAAATTCAAGTGGGTTTTACTTTCGATTTATCATACATATTCTGATTCGTTTTGTCGAGCTGATCACGAATATCACCTTTTAGCCTTAAAAAACCTTTTTCTCTTGGAGAAAAACTCGAAATATCGAGAGGGTCTAAAAAAATCGAAAAAAATGACCTCTATCGTAGAACTGACTTTTTGAAGTTTTATTGCAAGATGGAAGATTCAAACTATTTTTTTCTGAATCAGCGTTGAAAACTGATTTAGAAAAAGTTTCAGTTTATTTCAAAGGTAAACACTTGTCCACTATGGATATCCAAACCGACGGGTGTCCAATGAGGTGTGACTCATTTTGTAAACCTATCTGGTTTTTTGGATGAAGAGCTATACATTTGATTCATACACCATTAGATCGGCCAAGAGACCAGCTTCAAAAGTACGGTGAGCGTTTTTTTCAATTCCTTTTCCGCGCTGAGAAAATTGGCTTTTACTGGAACCAAGAGAAAATCGGTCACGTTGTTTCTGAGTAACTTTTTCATTTTCAATTCAAATATAATAAAAATAACCTCAAGTAGGTTAAAAAACGTGAGGAATTCAACGCAAATACTTTCGAGATGCTTAGAAGATAAGGATATATTCAATATCTGATGGAGCTTCTAATTCCGGATACTTATCAACAGCTCGCTTGTATTCATTTTCATCCAATTGAAAGAAAGGCCCAGCCGGGTGCTGTATCATGAAATCACTAACCATATTCGATTTCCCACGTTCCTTACTGTGAAAAGGTGCGTGATCACCAAAGAACCAACGTTTCGCAGAAACTTCTCCGGACTAAAAGGTCGACTCATCATGAAATACACGTATAAAAATAGAAGGAAGCTGAATAAAAGGTTATGCTCTCAAAAAATTCACTTACAAAAAAGAACTGCGGATGGAGTTTTGCACGGTATTGTCCATTTCGGCGAATCACCATCTGTGATCGTATAGTAATGGTCTTTTCTTCCGAGAAAGTAGTCAATAAATTTAGCACGATGTTGAATCACGTCGGCTCTTTCATGTCCTTCAAAGTAAGGACGGTTTCCGTTTTGTTCAAAACGTGCACCCCACCGACGAAGTTCTAACCGACAGGCAGCTGGGGAACGAACGAAAGGAGCACCATCATCTTTCACTGTTTGTGTAATCAGATAATATTGTTCATCGATAAATTGAGCGAGGTCGTTGGCTGTAAAATCAACTTCTTTTCTTGAGCAGAGTGACGATTTTGGCCTGTGTTTCAATTTCAGGAAAGCAATCAAAAAAGTCATTACCACGTTTTCCACCTCTATTATCGTTACAAAATTCATCAAAGTCTCCAGAGGTAAAAACGCTGGCTCATTTATCAGCTGTTTGACTAGTTAGCCCTCCAAGTTCACTTAAGAAATCATTACAATCTTTCCATTTAACCCCAAAATGACGCATTGACATATATAACAACACACTGATATATTTTGATGGACATTTCGATTTACATAATTCGAATAAATCAGAAATATCTTTGAGAATTACTTTGTCATTGAAATTCAATGGCTGTTGATCTTCATTGGTCTCAAATTCCATCTGTAGTTCCTCATCAGACGCAGAACTACCACTTTCAGTATTTAAACTTTCCTGTGAATAACGTCTTTGATTCAGAGAATTACATTGAGAACGACGTCTGAACCGTTTAGGCATAATAATAGAAAATAAAAAACTTGAGAAGTAAATGACAAATCTAAATATTCAAGAATTAAAAACTGCGAAACAAAAAGTATTATTACAGGTCCCTGTAGCCGACTCCTCTTTATGCTCTGTCTAACATAAATGAATACCAACAAAAACATCAAACAGCAACGAGACAGGACAAAAAACAAAAAGGAGAAACGAAACACGAGCAGAATGAAAGAGATACGAATAGCCAAAGCGATGTGTAGGCATGTGAGCAACATGCCTGTAATAAATATAAACTTCTCACACATGTGCGATAAAAAATTACGTTGTTTTCTGCGAAAGTATTCTAGAAACCTTCTGAGGAGTTTCTGGAAGTCTTCTAAGGATCTCGAAAGTATTTGCATCGAATTCCTCACGTTTTTTAACCTACTTGAGGTTATTTTTATTATATTTGAATTGAAAATGAAAAAGTTACTCAGAAACAACGTGACCGATTTTCTCTTGGTTCCAGTAAAAGTCAATTTTCTCAGCGCGGAAAAGGAATTGAAAAAAACGCTCACCGTACTTTTGAAGCTGGTCTCTTGGCCGATCTAATGGTGTATGAATCAAATGTATAGCTCTTCACCCAAAAAACTAGATAGGTTTACATTCATTTTCAATTCAAATATAACAAAAATAACCTCAAGTAGGTTTAAAAAACATGAGGAATTCGATGCAAATACTTTCGAGATCCTTAGAAGACTTCCAGAAACTCCTCGGAAGGTTTCTAGAATACTTTCGCAGAAAACAACATAATTTTTTTCATGTAATAGTGATACGATATTTTTTCGAAGAAAAACAAGCAGTACAACGTGCTTTTAACAATGCTAAAAAGGTAACAAAATTTGTGTAGCTTTCTTCTGAGGAAGAATATTTCCATTGTACATCAGCAATACTTTCAGCAAATACAAACACTATGAGGAATCAATTTATAAGTTTAGGAATTTATGACAAATAAACATGAGCAGAGAAACAAAGACATTATATGATGGCAGAACACAATAGAAAAAATAATGCTTTGATTTTTATATCGTTCTTTTACGAAGATATGTTATTTTTTAATAAATGAGTGAATAATGTGGTGCCCAAAAATCACTGATATTTGCCTTTTATTCTTTAACTAACACAACAATATGCTTGTCCTTAACCCATCATCTCCTGAGATTACTTTTAGTTGTTCTTAATTGATGATTAATTAAGAAGTTTTCCTTAATTAATCATCAATTAAGAAAACTGTTCTATATGATCATTTGTGCCAATTAAGAACAGCTAAAAATAATCTATATTAGGCCTAATTAATCTTTGATAACAAGCATAGTGTTGTGTTAGTGATAAATTTCTGTGCAAAAAAAAAATCGATATCTCATCCATGTTTTTCATCCAGTTAACTAAATTGAGATCTACTGCATATTTTTTTCGAGATCCATTCCAGCATTTTGAAATAAAAATGTCTACTTTTAAAAATCCTGTATGCAATTAAGTCAATCGAGATCTAATCCGGGATATTTCTGAGATCGTTTCTCGTTTTGTCCTTTGTTTCCCGTAATTGTTTTGTGTTACATTTCTAGTTTATTATAAATTGCGTTTACAAATTAAGACACAAGAATATAACTCATTCCATTGTACAGGCATATTCTATAATAAACATGGGTAAATAGAACAAAAAATAGTATCCTATGCAGAAAAATGTGCTTTAAAATTTGACACTTTAATTTTGCTTCCTTTTAACTTGTCCTTCAATCATGTCGGTTGACCGTTAGTCGTTTTTCATGTGGTGCCAAATAGAATATATATCTATAATTACTTAGCCCAGTTCATGCCTCCCATGATGTGCTATATGTAAGAACCATCAGAATAAATTGAATCGCAAGAAAAAGAAATAAAATTTCGACGGCTTCCATTATATAATAACTTAATTTTTCATGAAGGAAGCATTGCCGCAGAATCGAACCTGGGCACTATCACTAGTAGCCACAGTAAAAATATCACACCTCTCGGAAGTTGTTCGACTGAGAAATGAAAGATTTAGGGGCAAAATTCTGTTTTTCAATCAAAACATGAAACAGTCATAACTCCATCCCAAACCACCATGGCGATAAACCACTTAGGGCATTTCACTGCACACTGGGATCTACATGATAAAAGTAGTCTGAGTTTAAAAGCGATTTATTTTGTTGATGCTTGAGGAAAAAGATTTTCTTAACCGGCCGGTTTTTTACTGGTTCAAAAAGGCTTTTTAGTCAGGTTGAACCGCTTCGGTCAGGTTGAAAATTTAGCAACCGCTTCCAACTCTGTTGTGAACATTTCCTTCTTCAACTCTTGTGAATACATGTAGCTTATGAGCCGTCCCTGATGTGAATGAATAAATAAATATAGCATCTGTCTGTGTAACGTGACACTGTAAAAATTAAAAAAAGTACGATTTTGTTTGTATAATGTATTGACCAAGCAAAAGACGAAGAAACAACTTAAACTAAAACGCTTTGCAGTTGTAGAGCTCAAAAAAATTCACATAGACGATGGAAACTGCTCGTTTCAACCGACATCAATTTATTTTAGATTGTTTTAGCCACAAAAGCGTTTGAAATTTTATTTCTTCAATTAAAATGCTAAAATAACATTTCGCTGTTTTTCAAATGGTTCATTTATCAATTTTCAAACGGTAATGATAAAAACCATAGATCATTTAAGTAACGTTTTTTTTTATTGCTGTCACTATAAACAAGACTTAAATAATTTAAATATTAATGATAAAAGTCAAAAAGGAAAAGACTTACGCATTGATACTTTGTCCGCCAAACACAAACATGCCCGGTACACCTTGAAAGCAACCGGATGATACAGATGCACCTACTCTTAGTAGAGGATAACTGTCCTGAGAAAAAAGAAAAATTTAAAAAGAAAACTAACAGTCAGTACTTCTTCTTATTCCTGTCTAACTCACATCTCCACTGTACGGTGTCACCTTTTTACTGATCCATTTATTTCGTTTAAAATCAAAGATGAGTATTTCTGTCTAAATACGAACATATAGAAAAATAGAACAGTTATAGAAAAAAGAAGGAGAACGTATCATACGTACAGCATTATTAACACTTTTTCATAGAATAATGTTTTTGTTTTTTATGAATTGTATCATTTTTTTTTCTCCCCGTTCATTAGAACAATATTCATTATATGGAATTGCCGAAAGTACTGTTGAAGATAACGAAGTAACGCATTCAGATTGTATTTTCTGCCACTTTTGATTAATCAAATTCCATAGAATCGTTTGGCATTTCGAATTGTCACTTTTTCTATGAACAACGTGTTTTAATATTACTTAGCCATACACGAATTGTTAGAAAAATATTTACCTACTTTTTTCCATACAGAAATATTTCATTTTCATTTAGCATTGTTGATAATATTTTACCATTAAATTTCATTTGATTTAATATATCTTGAATCAAATCAAATGAAATAGTATTATTATTTGCTTTATAGATTAATAATTGAGCATAAAGTGATATTCTATCAGAATCATATGACCAATTAATATGATTATTATTCAATTGTTTCCATTGTTTAGTTCTAAAAATTTTAAAACAGAAAACAAAATTACTTTGATGTTTGACGAGAAACGAAAATCCCAATTAAAATATTCCTATATGATATTCACTTTCTAAACATGAAAAAGACGTGTATCTAATGTAGTGATTAGCAGCTAGATTCGGAAATCAATGAACCTGACTACAGTTAGGATTAAACACACAATAAAACAAAGTTATTTCGGTGTTCTCTGGATTACAGTGGATTTGATGGCATTAGAAAATTGCTTTCATCTGTTAACCAAAAAGCTAGATTCCTTTACAAAACGCTTTATAAGCAATTTTACGGTTTTCGGTTGCATTAACTACTGCATACTAGACAACAATCTGGACATTTGGAGAAAAACTGAAAATGAACTTTCTCAAGATTTGAAGAGTGTCCGATACACATTAGCTAATGGAAAAGAAATTTTGTTCCAAATGTTAAGGTAGTCGTAAGAACCTAGTGTCTGAGAGTTGAAGAATAAATCATACATATTCTAAAACTGGAACTCGTGCCCGATTAATTAGAAGGAAAGCTTTTTACTTTAGCAGTTTCTAGTCGGAAACAATAACAATTCTTTCTCCGCTAAGTATTTTCACAAAAGTCGTCTTCAGTATGGTCGGATTCCACTTTTTTTCCACTAATGCAATTTCCATGAAACTTTCACAGAATATTCTTCTATATATAAGACATCTACACAATTAGTGTAAACATGCCTTAATGCATTTCCATGATTTTCCAGGCCTTTTCCAGTTTACTTGCTTTCGAAACACTTTCAAACAAAAAGTAAGGGCTTATTTCAAATCAACGTGAAAAACTGCATAGAATAACATATTGTTTGTTAGGTTTCGCGCAAACTCTTGAAATACAAAAATCCAAAGATTTTAGTAGATGATCAGAGAGTTTCTGCTAAGCATATTATGTTTTGCTAGAAAGTGAAACAAAAGCTCTTAGTCAGCCTTTCTACATGTTTTCATATGTGCTCTTTCTAATGGTGTGATTTTCGAAGTATCGGAGGATTTTCTTGTTGGATTTCCAGAGATTCAGTCTCTCGAAGAGCAAGACACAAATGCCAAGGACCGTCTGAACGTCCACCACTAGAAAGAGTACATATGAAAACCTATAAAAAGAGCATTTATAGTGACGCATTTTTCTTGTTCAAAAGTTGGTTACTATATCCGATTTTTAACGATGAATCTCGGAAAAAACCTTGTTTTACACTTCCAACAACCTCCATTCGACCAACTGATGAGCAAACTTTTTAAATAAATTTCGAGAATTATACCAGCTGAGTAAAATGAGATCGTTTCTTATTTTATTCACGGAATTTCAATCTTAACCGATTATTGTCAAGTAAAAAATATAATGAACTGTGAAAGATGTAAAACTTTTTATCTAAATGACACAAGAAC